AGCGGAAGAGAAGGCAGAATGTCAATTTACGTAAATATCCTCTCCACCTCATTTTTTTGGGCCTAAATGAGGTTGAATTTGGGTAAGTAACCTGAAAGCCCATTAAATACCATCTCATCTGATCTATGCCCCCTGGCCAATTTATTAGGCTAAGCCCAACTCTGAAATTGACATAGAGGTGGGTCTGCCATGGCTAGCACAAATAGGTGGGCCTCTAGGCTTTTCAGGCCCAAACTAAAAATGCAATATTGCACTAATGCCCTCCCTACTCTAATTATATATCAAAAGATGATAATTTTGTTTTCCACTTCACTTTTTTGTTAAAAGATTTTTACTCTCATGTTCAAAACAAAAAAAAAAAAAAAAAAAAAAAAAAAAAGATTTTTACTCACATTTTTATAATTAAAACAATTATAAATTGGTGTGGTGGAATGGAATTTAGAACCAAGTCTTGGCTTAAACGTCCCAAGATCATGCCTATTATAAGCACGAGTAATGATGCAGCGGACGAAAACACGGGACGAAATGAGAAACAACAGGTAATAAAAGGGATCAAATTAAAAATTATATCATATACATAAATCTTACATCATTTGTTGTCTTTCATTTTCATCCCGCGTTTTCATCGGCTGCATCATTACTCTTATAAGCACCGATTAAAAAAGTTATGAAAAATTGTGTGCATGCACTGTTTTACCGAGACGAAAATATACGGATTGGGTTAAATCCGGAGCATGCCTTAAAATTCAACCAACTTGTACCCCTACCTTATCCTCATCTAGGTCCCACATGCCTTATTTACCACATATCAAGGAGGCTCTGTAACATCCATCATCTGTTGGTAAGTCTCTAACGTCCATTTTTGTCTTTCTTTCTCCATTAGCAGGAACTCATGTGTATCCCTTTCTCTCTCTCATTCGCAGCTAGTTTAACATATCAGTTCTTCCAGCGACGATCTACTAGTCTTGTCTTCCATTCCGGTGAGTTTGCACTTATTTGTGTGGAATGTGATTCACCGAATGTTTGTGGTATTCCTATGTTGAGATAATTTATATGCTTAATGGCCTTTATGAATTAAGTTCGCTTACATGGTTGTGGTCCTTGTGGATTATTTCGTTTTTTTTTTTTTTTATGCCATTGAAATTCCTGTTTATTGCGTGTATCTGGATTTCTAAAAGATTGAAAATAACCTGTGTGTTTTGCTTTAAATGTTGTTTTTTTTTTTTTTTCTTGTCATAATACATTTTGTTTTACTGTTTAATTTTAAATTCTGGTTTAATCAAGTTTTGAGAATGTTCTATATTTTTAGTGTGTTCTACTAATTCTCTTCTGGAGTGAATTTTAATGTCATTGATGTGTGTGTTCAAATTTGAATGGTGTTGTTTGTGTTGATGGGTTCATTATAGATTATATCTTGTTTGTTTTTACCCTAAATATATTTGTTTTGGATGATATATGCTCAAGTGATGTGTAGTGATCTTAATACTAAAACTTTGGAAGCTTAACTTACAAGTGAAATTTCTTGGCTTTCTCTTGTTTATCCTTTTCCGGTCATGCATGATCGGTGGTTGATTTGCTTAAAGGGTATTTGTTTATTTCTAAAGTTGTGTTTTTAATCTGAATGATTGTAGATTAAATAAAAAGAGCTTAGATGTTGTAGATGGTAGTTATATAAAAAGAAATCAAGAATAAATTTAAATTTCTTGAATTTGTTGAAAGGTCCATAAGTGTATATAGGTAAATCTCCATTTTCCATGAAGATGAGTGCTTGGGGTAGAAGTTTTGCATTTTGGGTAGATAATAAGTGCTCACCTACAAAGGGGAATGGGCAAAAAGAGCCTTAACAGGCAAGTCGAGTTAGGACATATATTCCCTTTCAGCTTGAAGTTGTTAAGAAAGAATGCAACATTCTCAAGATGACTGGTATTTTTTAGTCCTGACAAAGGACCTATTTTGTTATTACATCTTAATCTTTCTTGGAAAATTTAGGTTCAGAAACTATTGTTAATGGTAATTTTACTTTAATTTTTTTTCTTTCTGGATTTAGGTCTTAGTTTCTTCTGCAATAAATATGCTAGTTAATTAGTTATATAGAGGTAACTTTCTAAGAATCTGCATGTCTGATATCCTTTGCTTAGCCACTTATTTATAGTAACCATATGAAGAAAGGAGTCCTGCAAGGAGGAAAAATGGGGGTTATTGTTGTGTGGATCCCATCCTTGATTAGCCTTTCCTGTATACTTTACATGTAATGGTAATGGGCTTATTGTCAGATAATTCTTTGTGTGAGAAAGAGTTTGATAGGAGTTTTCTTTTGATATTTATTAGTGGTACCTGCAAAGTTTTGATATCATTTGTGTCAATGATGAGAATTCTTTGATTTGATAGTCCTGGAAGTCATGATAACTCGAAAGAGTAGGTTAAAGCATGTTAAACGACTCAAACTGTAACTTTGGTTAGTTATATATGCTTCTTTCTATAAGAACAAGATAACAACTACTTTTGATATGATTGGCATGACATTCTTCTTCTAGAAACTTTCTTTCTCCTCCTATTTTAGTAGAGCTGTAAAAGAATGTTTGGTATAGTCATTACATGTCATGTTAATGTTAGGATTATTCATTATTTCCAAGACTACTCTTCTACTTTAGTATGTAGCAGTACCATTTTTTTCTTTGCTAAGATGTGTATTTATTTTTTGTATACTTGATCTAGAATGAACTAGATCAGCTAAAATTTGATCTAGAGTTACTAATGCTATACCAGATTTAAATGAGGATATCTATCTCTGAACAGGTTTTGGTGCTGTTGCAAATTTACAATGTTTTATTGATACAAGTACTGGAATTTTTAAATAGTGTGACATCTAACTTGTTATGGGTTTTTTTCCTTGTATTGTTGATTTTTCCATGTTTATTTGCTTTTCTCGAGTTAAACCTTTGCATTTTTCATTTTGTAGAGAAACAAACTCATTGGGTTAATGACCATTAGCATCCACAATGTCTCAGTTGTAATTTTTAATTATTGTAGGCAGAATTAATTGTTTCAATCTAGCTTTGATTTAGGAAGCTACCTTGTGAACTTTTATATTAATTATTTTGGTACCCTAGCATGTCAATTTCACCGTTAACTTTTTATGTATTTTCTTTAATTTGTGTTCTTCAAGATTCAAATATGATAATTTTTTTATAAATTATTTTAATAAATTTGACTTTAAATTGTTCTTTTTATATTATATAAATTGAGTATTTTTGGTAGACATTTTAATAAATTATTCTGATAAATTAATATATATTTTTAGGTTAAGTAAGGTCATTTTTTCCCTTGTATACAAAATCTGTTGATTATTGAAAATTTTCTAATATTTTTCATGTTGGCAAAATCTAGTGAATTTGAAAATTTTCAAATATTTTGCACTGTAGGCATTTTTGTCCATATATATATAAATTATGAAAATTATCCTATGTAATTTTGCCTATTGTCAAACAAAGTATGGGACAAATTTTATATCCAGTCCTATGGACTACCAAACATTAGATAGGACTTTTATTAACTTCTCCAATCCAATCCCTTCCCATTGATTTTACCCACTCCAATCCAATCCATCCCATCCTGCATTCCAAATGTGCCCTAAATACACGTAGATGTCTATAAGCAGAGGTCTTGCCTGTAAGACTATATGCAATTCTTTCCTTCTAAATCAGTTTGTTTGTCTGCAGCAGCTAAGGAAGCATGAAGGCTAATCTGGTTCAACCCTTTCCATTTGTAAGTATGTTTTGTTTTTACATACCTCTGTATCTGTGAATGTTCTCAAGTGCATAGACATGGCTTTAAATTAATATGGTTACCAGAAATGAGATATGATCACCTGCTTCTTCTCCTATTAAATCTTTTGTTATTTTCTTTTTGTGGCCAAAAAAAAAGGAAAAAAAAAAAGCTTTTATATATGCATGGTTAAGCATTTTGTACAGAGTAATGAAGGAGTAGTTCCATGCATGATTGTGCAGCCTGAGGTTCATAAAGAAGAGAATTATGGAAGGTGGCACATTTTCATGCAACACTATTTAGTGGCTCAAGACCTTTGGGATGTGGTTCTATCCAGCGAGATGCCTGATGGAGAAGACCCAAGGGAGTGGATTAAAAAGAATGCTTTAGCTCTGTATGCAATTAAGATTTCATGTGGTGCAGAAAAGTTTGATCGGATTAAAGAGATTAATTCAGCCAAAGATGCTTGGAATGCATTGGCTGACTTGCATAAACAGCCAAATGAAGATGGGAACAAAGATACAGGTTTATTTTCCATCTCTACATATCTGTCTAAAACATGGAATACACTCCTCTTTCCTGTTTCTTAATTTTAATATTGCCTGAGATCGAAAATATTCATATCTTACAATCCTTGGTAGGAATCAAGACTGTTGAAAGGAAACAAGCCGTGACATTGCTCAAGGACATAGAAAAGGGGGACTCTGATGCTGTAAAGAAACTCTTGGAAACACATTCTTCATATTCTGCAAGAGCATTAGAAAACGGTTCCACTGCTCTTCATGTTGCAATTACTGCTGGCAAGATAGAGTTGGCTAAGGAACTGATTCCGGTGATGTCAGAAGCAGGAGAGTTGGAAACACAAAATAATAGTGGTAAGACAGTTCTTCACTTGGCTGCTTGTAAGGGGAGTAGAGAGATTGTAGAATGTTTGGTTGCAAAGAACAAGAAATTGCTTGAAATCCCAGATTGTGAGAAGAAGATCCCACTTGTATTGGCATGTGCCACACACCATAAGTGTTTGACTCTTTATCTTTATTCGGTGACACCTATTGAAATTCTAGATCCAGTAAATGGGGACCATGGATTCTTCCTCCTCAGAGAGTGTTTAAGGAACCGTATGTTCGGTAAGAGCTGCATGTAAATTTTAATTATTATTATTTTTTTCTATTTCTCTTTGCTCTGCTTTTATTTTACCCTAATTTAATTCTCAAACAAACTGTATTTGAGTCAGAGATTGGACTGGATCTGCTGCGCAAATTTCCAGATTTGACATTTCACAAAAGCTCTTTGGAACCAACCCCTATTATTTCAGAGTTGGTCCAAGTACTATCATCATTGTTTGCTGGAATTTGGTACAAGCATTTTCCATTTCGGGAATGGCCACTTATGGTATATATACCATTTTGTAAGTACGCCTCTCCTCTCTTTACAATTTTCAATTGAATTTCTCTGTGGATATATTTTAATTCTATTTTTTTGATCTTATATTTTAATTTTGTTTTTTTGCTATAAAAGTTGATAAGCACTTATTTTCAAATGTCTAATTCCATGTTTAAAGGTATAAAGTTCAGATCTCACAAAAACTAATTAAGGAGTAATTTCTTTGCAGATAAAAAATAGAAAATATACTAAAGAAACTTATTCCATTATGATCAATTATGCTTCACTACATAACTGGCCCGGACTGCTTTCATTTAGTTGCCAAATTTGTATGGTGTTCTGTTCGCTATTTTTATATATTTGAAAAATGATTGAGACACACTTGATTTAATATACTTTCT